GACTGTTTGTAAAAAGATCTAAACCCAACTCTAGTCTCAATTTGTGTTTGACTGTTTGTATTTATTTTAATTTTGTATAGATAACACATGCTTCTAGATTTCCTATTCTTTCAGAGTTGGCTCGTGATGTGTTGGCCATTCCAATTTCTAGTGTGGCGTCGGAATGTGTGTTTAGCACCGGTGGTCATATTCTTGATTCATTTAGGAGTTCATTGACTCCTAAATGGGAGCAAGCTCTTATTTGTGTTCAAGATTGGTTTAGAGAAGAGAAGAATCCTATTAGTGTTGAAGAAGACTTGGAGTATCTTGAGGAACTTGAGCTTGGTAAGCTTTAATTTTTTTGTGTATTTTAGTTCAAAATAATATATTACACTTGTTTATTTATATGACATATTTGGTTGAATTATCTTTAGCTATGGAAAATAATGGAAGCACTACTACCATTATTTGATCACTTTGATGTATAGTTGCAACTTGAGTGGTGAGTTTACTACTCTATTTGTTTGGTGATATACTTTTGTAGTTTTGTTCTTTTACCATTAAAAAATAATATTCTAACTTGTGATTTTCTTTTCTTTTTTAGGTTCAAGTTCAATCATGCCCCGTGCTCCTAAAGTACGCTCTCATGTTTGGGAACACTTCCAGAAATCCGTATTCAAGCCTAAGTTGATTTTGTTGCTACTTGCCTTCTTATTAGTTAAACTTACAACTTTATGTTGTGCGGAATGGCAGTAGCCAGTTGGTTTGCAAACTTTGCATAATGTTGTTGCTGTGACTTGTGAGCCTGTGACACTTTAGTTGTTATTACTTAAAGTGTAAACTTGAATTCTGTTTGGCAGGTTTGTCTATGTGTTTTTGTTGCATTGTGTTTAATGCTGCTGCTACTCATTAGTGGTTGCATGATGCATCTGCGTAAAGTGTAAGTTTGAATTAAAATTTCTGCTGCTGGGTTGCTGCTCATAGTTCAGTATGATTTTACAGTCCATGTTTGGCTTATTGGTGCTGAATGCTGATGCCTCTACAGTTGATTCATTCCGGAAAGATTTTTCTTTTAGTCAGAATCTTTCCTTGCATATTCTTATTACAATTACAATTAGTCATTATCTTTTCTTTTACTAGTTTTAGCCAGTAGGTCCTTCGATTCCTTTCACAATGTCTCAAGTGTATAATAGCAGCATTACTTACGAGAAATGAAAGGAAAGATTTTCCTTAATTAGGAATGCACTTCAATTTCATTTCGACTTGCTAAGACTACGTGACAAATTTATATGTATCAAACTGAAACCGTACCAAAATCGTACCGAACCAAACTAAGATTTACCGAACCATATCGAATTACTTTGGTACGGTATTTGGTATACACAATTGATAAACCGAATACCGAAATATCGAACCGAAATTCTTAATAACGAACCGAAGTACCGAATGCCCACCCCTAGGCAAAATGGTTCAAAGAAAACAATTAACCACCTATATTATCCATTAAAAAATGGGTTGGATAATGAACTATTTAAAAACGGGTCAAATATGGATAAGAACCATATTATCCATTTAAAAAATGGATAACCAATGGATAACCAATAGATAACCAATGGGTCTAACTTTTACATTTGTAAAGCCTCAAATTGGGGATTCCTCAAGTTAGGGAGACTAAGAATTCTCCCAAAAGTGATCATATGTCAGAAGTCATGGATAATATGGTTACTCATATTATCCGCTGGTTAACCCATTTTTTATCCGTTAAATATGGGTCGAGTTGGATAATTTACCCGTTTTTTTATTAATCGTTTTCAACCCGAACCATATCCGACCGACCCGCCCGTTTGCCACTCCTAGGTATAAGTAATCTACATCATACCTCTTAGCATGCGGTCCTTCTAAGAACCTTCCTCAGTGTTGCATACCTTATGTATCGAATTGCCCCTTTTCTCTACTCAAAGGTTTTGTATTGTAGTCAATGGGATTGTTCACCCTAGTTATCTCATGTTAGAGTCCTTCAGAAACTTGCATATTGAACTTCTTTCCTTTTAATCCTTTCTGTCCACTTTAATTAATTTTTTTAAATTATTTTTACACATTAAGAAATTTATATTTTAGTATTAATTAATAATAAAATTAACAATATTAACCTTAATTTATTTATTAAAAATACAACAAATAATCCTAAACTCTTTATTCTAATGACAACTTTGAAAAAGAAATTAATTCATTCTTGATATATGGAAAAAATTAAATATTGTGGAGCAAAAAAAAAAGTCAAAAATCAATTAAAATAAACCGTAGGGAGTAGGGGTGTCAATGGTTTGGTTCGGCCGGTTATTTTATAAATTTTGTACCATACCAATTTTTCGGTTATTCTATTATATATAACCAAAATTTGACTTTTCGAAACCATTCCAATTATGTTGGTTTCTCTTCGGTATCTGTACGATTCAGTAAATTGTTGGTATTTTTTTAAATGTCATGTAAAAGTCACTAGTAGAAGTAGAATGCAATAACATACGTACTTTTATATGACTTAGCAAAACTCTCTAGATATTCTTACAGTTTAAAAGTTGATGAATTAAGAAAATATGAAAGATGGCTAGAATATAGATCCATCAAATATTTTACAGCAACGTAAACAAAATTAAACAAATACAAAGAAAATATAAATCACACGAGCGAAAAGATATTAACCAAATTGAGATTCAAGAATAAAGTCTATAGAAGATTATAAATCTAATTCATACGAAATGAAATACATTCAATACATTGTAGGTTGCTACTGCTAATCGCTACAATACCTTTTATCTTACTAGTGAATATACTGAAAATAATTTAGTTTCAATAGAAGTAGCATAATAGGCTTAAGAATTAGGATTTTGTGTTTAATTACTGGTTGACTTGTAACTGTTTCATAATTCCAAGGCCCAAGAAAAAATCTAATGCTTTATTATTTTTATACTTAACATATAAATGTATTTTTCACATTGTAAATTTATTCGATAATGTTTAGTATTTTTTCGATTTATTTTCATAAAATAAAAAATCTACCTATTTATCGGTACAATTATATATTTATATAAAAACTTACAGATTTATTAAAAGAAACTTAAAAATCAGTTTAATATGGTATGATTTGGTCAATATATTTAATTTTTAAATATCCATTAACATCCTTGGCAGGGAGTATCAATTTAGGAGAAGGATGGGGTAAACGTACTCGGATCAAGAAGTGGTAATTAGTCACATGTATATATACTTCCTACAATTTTTATCATTCACCTTCCTTTTACACACTTATAAAGTATTAAAGTGAAGTCAATAAGAAAAATATATACTATTAAAAAACATTTATGTAACATTAATATAATAAAGATATTCTATCACGTCTTACATATTAATCGTTTTGAGAAATTAAATTTATTGTAAAATATTTGTGATTTAAAAAAAAAATTAAACAAGAAGTCATTTATTGCCATTTCTCCAAATCTACCTCTGTTGTTCTAAATAGTGGATTCAACTCCTCTCAATTTTCTAATATCTCCATTTTCCCAAGTTCTTACTTGGATTGAAGGCACATATAACATTTTAAGATCAATGGCTTAGATTTAATTAATTAGAACTAGGCATTAATCATGGTCAGAATAACAGATAGTCAATATATAATTTTTAAAAATTCCGATACTTTAATTTCATCAAAAAAAAAAAAAATTCATGTTCTGACGCCAAAAAATATCCCAAAAGTTTTTATCACCGTGTTAATCCCTTTAAAAGTTTAAGTTGCAATATATTTCCAAGTTATGTATTATGATTACTTTCTCCTTTTCAATGGTTGATTTGTGGATATGACGTCCCAAAACGAACATACGGATATTTCCCATTCCTTTGTGCCTGTGAATCTTGGGATGGAACTTATTTCAGAACATGAATATGAATATTTTGAAAATACATTGCTAGAATTGATTGAACATGAGAAAGTCGAGAAGATGAACAGAGGCATGTAGAAAGAAAGAAATAAAGAATGATGTGAATTCGAATGCTTTGAGATCTGTTGATCGCCTAATTTTAATTGCTTAAACTTAAAATTCTTTTTATTTTATTTACTCGAATTTTGTTAATTTACTGTAATATCATGAGTATTTGAGATACAGTGGTAATAATATAAGGAAAAAAAATCAGTAGCTAGAATTATGGGATTAGCAAATCTTTTGGGAGCAAATATATAAAATATCAATAACTATCTAATCATGGCTAATGTTTAACTTTAGCTAATTAAATCTAAGCCATTGATCTTAAAATGATACATGTGTCTTTCATCCAAGTAAGAACTTGGGGAAATGGAGAGGAGTTGAATCCTTAATTAGTTGAGTACTTGTGTATAAAATAAGTGAGACGCTAAGGAAAGAGAAATGGTCATTACACATATACTGTTATAATTATGACAACTAATAATATGGACAAATAATATGATATTTTAAAAGGGACATGCAAAAATCTTAAAGCACAAATAATATGGACTAGAGGTACAACATTTGGAGGAAGATGTTAATTTTCAAACTACGTACATGGAGTAAAGTGAAATCTTAACCAATATACGGAATCAAGAAAATGAAGTTCAATCTCCAAAAAAAATAAACATAACATCGGGCAGACCTAGTTATATAAATTATTCCATTTTTTAAAACTAGCATGCATATTTTACACATTTATTTCATCTAAGTTATAACTAGTATTAAATTTTAAATAGCTTGATATTGTGTCAAACTACATATTCAAAAACGTATTTTGAGAGTGCAATAAAATAAAAATTGAACGAATATCTGTGAAATTACTCAAGGAATATTATTTTTCCACTCCAAAAGGTTATACCAATAAGCTTTACTCTTAATCAAATACCATTATGTGCACGAAGTTGGAGCTGGAAATTAGATCAACTTATGTTACGCAATAGGATTAAGAAGTTGTTCTTAAAACGATAAACTATATTCACAATGTTTAATTGGAATTGATTAATCCCTAACTAGAGGCGGACCTATACATAAGGTAGAGGGGTCACGAACACCAGTAAAATTCGGCAAAACTTCCATATATACATGTATATATTCTTAGAAAATAATGAGATGTTAACAGTGGACACCCTATATACAAAATAGATTTTGGCTAAATCAAAAAGTGCACCCTTGTGATGTTTCGATATGTAGCAGAAATTAAAGAAGAAATTGTCTATTAGGGCTTGAGAAATGAAAGCACAAAGAGGAACGAACAACTGAAGTTTTATTCATGTGTAAAATGAACTCCTTAACTACTGAAGGTTCTAGAGTCAATATTTATATACAAGGGCAAAAGTGTAAAGAACTAATGCTAATCTGTGAACCGACCCGGCAAATTACATGTGAATAAGAAAATGAATGTGGGCTGCTAAGCCAATACAAATAAATACATTTCAGATTTCTGCATAGTCAATGTAACGCCAATACTCCCCCCTCTCAAGTTGGAGGGTGGGCACACACCCAACTTGGCAGCCAGAGAATGATGAACCCTACCAGTCAAGCACTTGGTAAAAATGTCAGCCAATTGGGAAGTAGTAGAAACATGATGTAAAAAGATCAAACCATCAGTTAACTTGGTCCGGATAAAATGACAATCAACCTCTATATGTTTGGTGTGCTCGTGAAAAACAGGGTTCTTGGCTATGTGAATGGCAGCTTGATTGTCGCAGAAAATAGGGAGAGGAGTAGAGGCTTGCAAGCCCAAGTCAGACAACAAACAGACCAGTCAAGATAGCTCAGCAACAACTTTGCTCATGGCCCTATATTCAGCCTCAGCGGAGGATAAAGAGACCATCAGTTGTTTCTTGAACTTCCAACTAATAAGACCACCACCCAAGAACACACAAAAACTACTAACAGAGCGGCGAGAATCAGAGCATGTAGCCTAATCACTATCTCAATAGCCAACTAAAGAACAATCAACAGAATCATTAAGAAAAAGACCAACA